CGCACCGCATGCACTGCCTGATAGCACGCAGCACGCACCACACGACAGCAGCAGCACTGCGAGACGCACGCACCGCCCGACAACAGTAGTAGGGCGGGGCCCACATGACAGTTCATCAGAGTGGGCCCACACTTATCTTACCACATCAGCTCTGCCTGCCAACTCACCGCCAGCTACACCATTCCTCATCCCTTATCCTTATCCTTATCTTATCTTATCTTAAGTAAGAGTTGTGTTACCATTAAGAGTAGGTAATTAGGAGTTTGAGTTCAAGTTGGAGTTTGAGTTTAATTAGGAACTTCCTTCTGTAATCTCCTATTTAAGGAGCCACTTATTGAAATAAAGGGATTCAGTTTTCCAATCAAGAAAAGAGTGAGGAGAGTTCAAGTGGTCTCTTGGACAAATCACCCCAAGGGAGAGTTCGGGTGGTTTCTTAGACAAATCACCCATTCAGTTTCCGCAATAGGGTCTGCACGCAAGGGAAGGCGCAAGGGAAAGCAGGACTTTCTCCCCGTGGACCGACCCGTGACGAGATCCTACGCGCGGGCCCATAACCGGCTGAGTAAGAACCCAACAAGTCATCAATGGCATCGGGCAAGGTGGACCCATGGATATAGCTGTAATAAAAGACAAATACTCGGTACTTAGACCCAACAGAATTATCTCTTTTGGGTGTTACCATATATTAGTTCAGCAACAGTAGTAAGATTATCACCTATAGATTTGACTTTTGGAATAGATTGAGCACCTTCATTGTTTTTATTTGAAGTTGTCATCAGAGTTGCAAAGCACAAGATCGAGATTGGGAGTGAGAAGCAAGGACAACCCCCTCTACTAATGAAGAGATTAACCAACTTAATACAAGTTGGTCTGCTAAGATCAAGTGGCCAAGGTTCAAATCTTGCTATAGCTAAAATTTGAAGTTTACTGATAAAAAAAAAAAGTTGGTCTGCTTGAATCTATGCCTAATGTGCCGGATTAGGAACCATACAAACAAGACCGATTGATCTAGAGTATGTGTTGGTGGTGGATGGGTCATGGTTTCTTCCATCAACCAGCCCCATCAACTAATGAGTAACATTGGAAGGAATTGTGCCTTTCATAGTAAATAACTGAGTTCAACTATGGTGAATTCATTAATACTGGCTGCTGTTAAATTCAGATCTCAACCAATTATATTAAAATCTACTTTTTATTGATTCACATTTCGCAAAATGTACTTTGATATTTAACAAAGTTGTACTTACCAATATTAAACCAATCACATCTTTTGCTATGTAGTGCAGTGGATGCATGATTAGATTTTGCCTAAATAATTCTCACTTGTTTAATTTGATGGATAGATAGTACATGATATTGGGTATGTAAAATTTGCATGGAGATGTCAGAAACCACTGCACTTCAGCCCTCCTAAACGGGCCCTATCAACTGCTTAATTCTCTTGTCAGCTGAGATCACTAACCAGAGTTAAACTATGCTTTTGGACCAATCATACTGAAAACAATTGATGCTTGAAGTGAAACACCACTCTTCAAACGGGCCCTGTCAGCTACTTAATTCTTTTGTCAGCCTGAAATCACTAACTAGAGTTAAACTGTGCTGTTGGGCCAATCATATTTTTAACGGTTGATGCTTGAAAAGAGATACCACTCTCCAAATTGAGGGAACAATTCCATGAGCAAAGTGCTAGGGGAAAATGCTTGGATAAATCCCCAAGTATATAAGACAAAATCCCAGAACTCACAAATATAAGACAAAATCTCAAAGGCCCCAACACAGAGTAATAAGCAAGGCCCTATTCATATATGTAGCTCTAAATGCCAAACCTTCTAATTTGTTATTTTTCTGAGCAAACATTCTACAATTAAATCTTTCAGCTATACCCAAGAAAGACATACTCTTCTTCTAGGGGAAAGAAACTCAAAAGATGCCAATAAAATATGACCTGCACTTAAGAATCAAATTATTGGTTTGATTTGTCTCTAGGGTTTTGGGTGATAACTTAGCTAAGCATGCAACTTCTCTGCATTAAACTAGATCTTTTTTCCAACAACAATGGAGAAAAAGAAAGTGAACAAACTAAGACAAAACTCAAAAAGACAATATAATTCCTTTTACAAGGCATGTTTTTCCTTGAAGATTCTTGCCAACTCCTTCCTCAAAGGAAGATTGCCTGCTTATCATCAAATAAAATGTCATAAAATTTAGAATTATGAAATCCAGTGTTACAAAAGAAAACATCTGCTTTGCTGCATACATTTTTTATGTATAACAAAATCAAACCAAGGTCGACCAGACATGCAATCACTTTGCTGCTTTGGGCCAGCCCCCACATCTTAGGCATCTCTTCCCCTTCTATGAGTGTTTTCTTCTTTTTCCTTGTATCCCTCTCCTCAATAGCAACCCGATATAAAAAGCAAACTCCTAACATGATCAATTACAAGATTGGAGAGAAAAAGAAAAGGAGGATCATCACCAATAGCCAATCTCTAAGGCTTCCATGGTGCTGGAGGTGGTGGAGGAACTGGAAACATTGGCGGGACGGCTGAGAATATGGTGTTCTTGTCAATCCCAGTCTTCTCACCTGACAAAGCCACAAGAGCAGCAACTAAACCTGCATTGCCAGCTAGGGTGGGTTCTGTATAATTGTAGTTAGTACGAACATCCCGGAACCCATCATGCTTGTCAGGGCCAGCAACCATGGCTCCAACAATCGTATTGGGATTCGGCTTTGGAGTGTCCCTCCATTTCCATCCTCCTTTACAGTTATACTTAATCCTGTTCTTGGGGATTGAAGCACCTCTGTGGTGTACATGTTTTGGATAACGATTACCAAAGCCCACAACATAACTCATCTTCTGAGGATTCTTGCCAAGAATATAATTGATCTGTCAAAACCCAGAATCAGTTTTCAGTTGCTCTCCATAACCTAATTGATTTATATGCAAAAGCTTTGTATTGAATTCACAGAGTAAATTATAATTACCTGTGTTCTTGCAAAGTCTCGTAAGACATCAGTTGAGAAGAAATTAGGACCACAATACCACCCTGGTGTATCTGCAGCATCAAGATAGTCACTGTACAAGGCAGCTAGGAAAGCTGCATTGACCACATATTGAAGAGGCTGAGGCCTTCCATGGTTTAATTGTATCAAACCTCCTGAACAGTGAAAGTGGAAAAGAATTACACTGGAATCCAGAGTAATATATAAAGAACATCATTTCAAGTTCAATGAGGCAAGGCGGGCAAACCTTTTGTTCGATTGAAGCTGGTGAAAACTGGCAAGTATGAACACATGACTATACTGGTCTGGTTGTGAAAAGTCCTCAAAATTTCTTCATATGGATAACCAGGACTCAAGAACAGTCTTAATCTACTCAGAAGCACCTGAGACAAAGACAAATAAACATTAGATCAATGTTTGGTGCAATTGTAAAATCTTGGTCTGAGGTGTGAGAATGCAGGTTTGAGTCTGACAACAGAAACTTTGTACAAGAAAAATTTGGAGGTTAGATTCACATATAATCTACTCTCCCAAGACCCTGGATAACTAGGATCATAATTGGGGGAAACGACTTGCGTAGAAATGGAAATGCTACTCAAGGATCAAAGAGTATAACATGACAAGACAAGATTGGCAAACAATTATTTGGTAGAACATGCAAGCTCAAGTGCACAATCCACTAATAAAATCTAGGAACCATTCACTTACTTGAGCACCGGCAAGCTTGTTATCCCAGCTTAGAACCCCATAATCTGGTCCACCCCAAAAAGCACCAGCATGCTTAGCGAGAGTTGGGTGAGTAGCCAGTTGAAGGTAGGAGGAATTTCCCGTGGCATAATACAACCAGGCTCCACCCCACACATACTCATCCCAGTAACTAGTGGAATTATAGAAGACTGCAGGATCTGTGCCACCTGAACTATATCTACCTCGTACCTCCCTTGCAAACTTAAACAATGTTTTGGCACCATGAACAAGTTTCTGGGAGTAAGTCTTGCTGTCTTTAAACACAATAGACGCAGCAGCTAAAGCAGCAGCCATCTCAGCTGCAAGATCTGAGCAACTATGGCATTCATACACAGGCCGAGGATAATCAATGTCCTCAGGCCGCACCCAACAATAATGATCATTAGGATCAGGCCCTTTTGAAGTATCCCCAACTCCAACCTGCCAAAAAAGAGAATAAATAGGTCAGTTCAAATGTACTTGGTGAAAACAGAATCGATTAAGCAGTCTTAAGTGCAATTTCATAGTTTATATTTCGCTGTAGGAAGAGAAAAAGTACCACACTTTGCAGCAATAATTTCTTAAAGATAAAGGCCTAAAGCATATTTCATAGCCAAAAAAAGTGGATGAAATACACTTTTTGCACTGCCAAAAGAATGGCTGCAAATTGTTTGTTCAGAGTTCAGAGTTCAGAGTTCAGAGTTTAGACATAAAATTAGTTCTCAATTAGATGCTACAATGTCAGAGATGGACATCACTTTCACCCTTTATTTTGATACATTCTACCTAAGCATTCGAAAAACAACAGAGTGGAATGTAGATTGCTTCTAAAGCTTCCATACTGTCATAGGGGAAAGAAAGCATTTTAGTTATTAGAACCAATAGAGATAATAAACCTTCAATTAATTAAGGGACGGGGGACCTAATTTACCTGTGCAGAGATCCGATCAATGGTATCAGCAGAGGAATTGAAAGTCTTGAGAAGATAATCAGTTCCCCACTTGATAGTATCTTTTATATGGTTAAGCTCCCCTGCAGCTTCATACTTCGCACTGTACTCGATGACACTCCAACTCAACATGGTCATGGCGAAAGATGCCGGAAAATTGAACTTGATAGCATCTCCAGCGTCATAATACCCACCCACCAGATTCTTGTTAACAGAATTATCGGAGAGACCGTCTCTCATACCAGAATTTCCCCTCCAACTAACATTGTTATGCTTAGGAAGCGGTCCAGCTGCGAATTTCAGAAAAAAAAAAAAAAGTGAGGAAGAAAAATAAGAACAGGTAGCAATAAATCTCAAACAGAGATTCGAAGCAAAAGAGAACAGATCTAAATGAATGAATTCGATATCCTAACAGTAAAAACAAGTAATTTTAAAAGAAAATTTGAGAAATTGTAGATCCAAGGCTGAGCATTGAAGAACATAGTTGGATCGAAAAACAGAAATCAACCAAAATCTTAAAATAAAATCGGATCTTGTGAGTCAGTGAAATAAGAACTTACAACGCTGAGCATTGAAGAACATGAGGGCCTTGTGGAGGGCAAGGGTGTAGTTGTCAGGGGGAGCTCGAGAGTGGTGGTGACGGGGAACTGTCTTAACGATGAGGGTGACGAAACCGGCTATAAAACCGGCGGCGAGAATAGTACCGACAGTCCAGACGAAGAGCTTACGGCTGACAATGATGCAACCCAGATCGACATATTTCTTCTTCTTCTTTTGCTCACTGGGACCAAGCAACCAGCTCTGTTGGGTTTCGTCCAGAGGCCGTGAATTCAGAGCCGCCCGGTCGAAGTCCTGGAGATTCCGACTCCGGTCGTCGTCGGTAGCCGAATCTGCTGCATTTATTTCAAGCGGACCCCCCCACGGGTCACGCCCATACATACTCATCTTTCTTCCCCTTTCCTTCTTCTCTCAATCAACCAATCTCAACCAACCAAACCGGCAATCCAGACCCTGCTACTTTTGCTGCAGATGATGCAGAATGTAGTTTTCTTCTGTTGATACAGTGCCCTCAGCGTTTGTCGGGGTTAAAACTGGGAGAAGAGAAAAGAAGATGAGGAAGAAAAAGGAGAAAGAGGAAGAGGAAAGGAGAGACCGAAGCAAAGTATCAATGGCGCTCCCTCTCTATCTCTCTGTCTCTCTGTCACTCACTTTGTTTCTGTGTTATATCTGGAATTCTGGATGGATGACACTGACCACCCCACTAATCAACAGAGACATTTTACCTCTCTTCTATACCTTACCTTACGTCCTTACCTGATGATTTCTCTATTTTTCTTTTTCTTTTCTTTTTTTATTTTGTTTTCATCTAACGGATAAAAATCGCTGTGTTGACTCGGATCTCGGAAGAGAAACCCGGATCGTCAAAGCAATGCATTGATGCGCGTTTGTGACTAGCATAGGGCTACTCTACTCCAAGTGGAGCAGCTGATTTCTAACCTAGTTCCTGGCTTCATTAGATGGGACCACCTGAATAGACAATAGTCCTATTAAGTTGTGTAAACTAGACCTGTTCATGGGTCAGGCTAGATCGGGCTTTCACTCTTTATTAACAGATTTTTTTAAGGCCTAAGATCAAAGTCTAAAGCTCATATTGTTGCTATCTTGAAGCAACTGAATAGAGAGATAGAAATTATAAAGAAAAAATAAAAATGTATATATTAAATTATTAATATATATTATAATAAATATTATATAAAGTAATTAGGTCGGGTTGAGCTTAGGCTAGGCTTTTTTGATAAATCTCGAGCTCGGCCCGAAACACAATTAGGCTTGGTGTTTTGGGCCCGAGGTCAAGGCCGCGGGCCTAACTACATGTCCAAGCCCAACTGGGGTGCAAGCCGAGCCAAGCCGGGTCGCCAAGCTACCCGGCCCATGAATTTAGTGTAAACCCTAAAGCTCAAAATCAATGTTTTAAAAATCGATTCAGAATTCGAATTGTTTTGACCACTAATTTTTGGGTCAGCGGTTCGACCATTCAGTTCAAATAGATGGTTCATTCATCTAAAAAAATAATTAAAATAAAAAACAGTTAAAACCATTGTCTAGGTCGAATGGGTTAATGGTTCGATTGCTCAACTTAGTGAGTCATTGAATAAGTTAATGGTTTTTGGCCAAAGAACCAATTGCTTAGACAACTCCCAGGCTGAACAATCCAACAATTCGGGTCAACTACTTTTGGACCCGTTTGGAGGGTTTTTAGATTGATTGAGCCACTTCGAAAAAGCTATCAAAATTTGCTTCATTGGAAAATCGATTATGTGAGTCATTAGCTCCCGGGCAGCACGGCCCGTTATCTTGAGCCTTTTCTGTCTTTTTTTTAGCTTTTCACCAAATGTAGTAGTAGATTCAGGGCTTTTGATATGAGACCTACCTTACAATATCAAAAGCCGTTAAGTAAAGCTTCCTCAAACTGGTACTTAGTGGCTTCTCCAAAAACAACTCTTTCCCTCCTTAAGTCCTTCCCTCCCGCAGCCCACCACCCAACCCACCTGGTCAACTCATTCCGAGTTAACTCAACTGGGTTTGTTGGGTAAAGTAGTAAATTAGGTTTGGTTGAACCGAAACAAAAAAAAAAAAAAAACTTGATTTAAATTAGTGACAGGTTGGCAACAGAGGGGAGGTATAAGGAAGAAGGAAGGACAGGGTTCAAGGTTGAAACCCTTTGCGTTGCCTTAGCCCAAAATAATAATATTTTATTCCACAAGCTTCTATGGTTATACTGTCGGTGGACTCATATTACTATTCCCTTTGAGGAGAAAACATTAAATAATTTCTTTGCTTTCAAGGAAGGTCCACATCTGTCTTTTGTCTTTCCTACTAATCCATGTGACATTTCAACAAATTTATACTTTTTTTGTATTATAAAAATAATGAAGAAAAGATTACTAAGACTCCCCCTGTTTTTCTTCACAAATACTAAAGATTCCTCTTTTATTTTAATCTTTGTAAAAATCTCTCTTCATGTATCAAATAAATGTAAAAATACACCCCTTATATTAATTGTTTTTATGAAAAATCCAAAAAATCATCAGAAAAGTACGGACAGGCCGAATGCAGATTTCTGAATTCTATTATAAATCTATAAACATTCAAAATGTCAAAAACCCCCACTCTATACACTAATGCCCATCCCTAAATTGACATCAACTCTGAACTGGCATTCACCCCAACTGTACTTTGGGCCTATGAATTCTAATGCTGGGCTGAACTGTCATTCTCCCAAAAAACATTGATTTAAAGTTTTTAAAATAAAATTTTCGTTAGGATAAAAATTTATTTAATTACCCTAAAAAAGGTAAATTAATATAAGAAGACACGTAGAGTGCATATGAGACCCATTGGTCATACTAGGAAGAATTTATAATTCCACAAATTTGATATATACTTTTTATTTGGAGTTTCATTATTTATGTCGTGGAGTTAACAATAAAGACCAAGTTGGGGTTGAACTTAAAATCCTTTCTAACAAAAGTGCCTTAAGAAAAAATTGAAAAGAAAATATTGATGTTCTCTTAACACATTTATTACAAGAGTATGATTATAAGTTCAGCATCTCCACAATGTTGAAACTCCACCAACCAATGGAGGCTCCATTGATAGGTTTTCTGACTCGTCGGAATAGAGACCTGGGATCAAATTCCACTGCAACCAGGGTTGGAGGGGTTAAGGGAGGGGGATGGGTTATCCTATTGTGTAGCCTAGCTATGAAGCGAAAAAATAAAAATAAAAAATAAATATCTCCATTACATGATAATTAATAGAAATTTTGTTTTTGCATATTCATATATATATATATATATATATATACACTAGCGGGGACTCGTGCAATGTACGGGCTTTGCTAAGTGAAAATTAAACAATAGAAACACATAAGAGTATATAATTGTTTTATACTGCACCTTTTTCAATAATTAATAATTATTTATATTTTATATAATATTTTTAATATTTTTTTGTAATACATAAATAAAAATAATTAATTTCATCTAGAGTTGTTCATTGGACTGATGAAATCGACCAAACCAACTCAACTCAACCCAAGTTGGTCGGTTTTCGAATATTTTTGGTTGGCTTTGGTTCATCAAATTTCCAACTCAATTAGGTTGGGTCAATTTTGATTTGGCTACTTGTAAATTGACCAAAATTGAATCAATCTGACTATAGGTACATATTAATAATTTATTTTTTTAATATAATTTTTCTAATGTGGGAAAGTAGAAATTCTCATCTTTTTTAGTCTAAAATATTTTATATTGTAAATTTATTTTTTCAATAGTACCACTATAATTTTTTAAATTTAAAATTTTAAGTTTAAATCATTTGAACTGACCAACCAAATCGAAAACTGACCCAAATTTATACAACCCGAATTGGTCAGTTTTCACTAATAGTCGGTCGATTTTAGGTGACCAATTCACCAACCCAACCAAGCCAATTTGGTTGGCCAAACAATCTACAACCGAACAAACTTGTGAGAATTCATAGTTTCAACTAAATTAACAATTAAATCTCTAATAAATAACAATACTTTAATCTCCAGTAATTATCGATAATTTATAGAAAAATACACAATTATTGAAAATAAATTTATAACAAAAATATAAGAAATAAATAATAAAAATACAAAAAGTTAAAAAATAAATACAATAAAATATTTAAAACCTTTCATTATTTAACTTTTATTTATTTGAAAGTTATTACATAATATTAAATATTTTATTATATAATTATTTAGCTATTTTTTATGTTTTTTATTTAAAATATTTAGTTATTGAAATATTTAAAAAATATTTTAATTTTTTAAAGATTCATTGTTTAAAAATAAATTTAAATAATTTTGTTATTGAATTTTTAAAATATTATTTAGTTATTACATAATATTAAATATTTTTATATAATTATTTTTCTATTCTTAGTATTTTGTTATTGAATGTTTAAATAATGTTTAAATATTTTAAATATTTATTTTTTAAATAAAACTTAAATGATTTTTACTAAAATCTTTAATCCATAAAATTATATGTTATTACATAATTTTTAATCCATAAAATTATAATATATATTGTTAATGATCTAATTATTAAATCTATTATAATTATTTTTTTGTTTTTAATAAACATTTTAAAATTATTACATAATGTTGTTATAATATATAAATAATTATTAAAAAATTTAATTCAAACTTTCTTTAAATAGACATAGATGCAAAGTGGGGGAGGAGATAAATTGGAATTAGAAATAAGAAGAGATAATTTAGGAGAAAACCGGGGATAGTGGTGCCATGTGGCTCTAGTAAAGAGAAGAGATGGAATTGGAGTGGGACTCTAGTAAAGAGAAGAGGGTTGCCACGTAGCTACATGGAAGGGTTGGGAAGGGTTGCCACATGGCAACATGGGAATTGGAGTGATTAGGTTTAAATTTTCAATAATTATTTATTATTTTTTTGTGATAAATGTATTTTTAATAATTATGTATAAATCTATTTTTGTTTTGTTATTTAATAGAAAATTTTCAATAATTGTAGGATATTAAGCTACTATTATTTTACTTTTTAAATTTAATTTACTATACTTATTGTATGTTTGTTATAATTTATTGATTAATATTTATTAGAGATTAAACTATTATTTGAGATAACACTATTGTATTTTTGTAGTTATTGTATTTATTATATTTTTGTTAGTTACTTATTGTATTTTTATTATCAATTTATTTTTTGCAATTATGTATTTTCGCTATAAATTTTCAATACTTATTGGAGATTAAACTATTGTTATTTATTAGAGATTAGACTATTAATTTGGTTGAAATTACGAGTGTTCAGAGGTTGGTTCAGTTCAGTTGTAGGCATTTTGGCTAACCAAATCAACCTGGTCGGGTTGGGGAGTTGGTCATCCGAAACCGATTGACCATTAGTGAAAATTGGGCAATTCGGGTTGTATTGGTTTGGGTCAACTTTTAGTTTGGCCAGTCAGTTCAAAAGATTTAAACTTAAAAAATTAAATTTAAAATTTAAAAAGTATAGTGGCATTATCAAAAAATAAATTTAAAAATTAAATTTATTCTAAGAATATATGGAAAATTCCCCACTTCATGTATTAAAAAAATATATTAAAATATAAAACATTAATATGTCTTTGGTCGAGTCGTTTCATTTTGGTCGATTTAC